GTTGAGCATAAAACGTTATTATCATGACACCAACATTTATTATTACATTTAAAATTACTTCCCGTGTCCAAATTGTTTTAGTGCTGTTAAATGCTGATTTAGTAAGCATAGCTCCCAGTTATGAAAATATAAGAGATTTCACCCAAACTTTCGTTCTAAAGCCATTACCCAATCCCATCTCCTTGAAATAAAAACTAGATTTTTAGTTATACCAAGTATGTTTCATTAGGGAACCATACAATATTATTTACTATAGCTAATATAGGCAAAAGAGAATGTTATATCCATTCAAACGGTTTGTTATTTTCGTAATATGTATTTAGAAACGGATACATACTAACGAAAGGTAAAAGTTTGACTATACATTTCTCGGAGTCGTATAAAGATAAGATTGATATTCTTATGAGGAAAAACCAAGTTTTCTCGAGGTAAATGTGAAATCATCTTTGCGACTCAATGAGTTTTCTCATGAAGTTGTTACACTTTCATTAGAACAATTAAAAGTAGCCAACACAAACCTCTGCTAAAAAAGCTCTTGTTATTGAGGTTATACGTCATGTTTAGTATAATTTAAGTTTGTCTCAGTGAATTGGTCTTGTATTTTTAAATACCTTAATAATTAATAGTTGTGTTTATTGTTTTACTACCAAACATTACAATGTACTGTATCAGTGAATATATACATGACTATTTTTTTGAAATTAATTTTTCTATTAATTGGCAATTTTTTATGTTTTGTAAGCAAATGGTCCAAACCCTGGTCTGTTACTATTTAATGTCAATATTTATTCGTTAACGACAATTCATCGATAGCTATTCATGCTCTTTTATTTAGAATTTTTTCTCTCTAAGCTATCGACGGGAATATATTTTTAGAAGTTTCCGTGTCCTTTTACTTTTCCAGTATCATAAAAACTATTTAAACTTCAAAGTGTAATATGATGGTTAGAGTTCTAAAATATGAGTTTTGCTTTATTTTTTTACAGCTTTCAAAGAGTGAAATACTCTTTTTCTATTTAATATTACCATTTAAATAAGCTTTAGTATTTTAAAAAGTGGTTTGTATATTACTATACTTAAACTGAAAGTGTAACAACTACGATAACATACAATATTCTTATTTATCAATATTGCATTGTTATCGACAACTATATACCTTAAATGTTACATTTACGAAGGTATAGTAATGTTTTTTTATTAACATTTTTGTCAACTCCATAGGTTCTGAAATGGTTTACTTAAATTTTCTTTATTTCAAACCACCAACAATTTAGTTGTCATAAATTGTCTCAATACGTTAGAAATTGATTTACTCTAAAATATCTGTTCTGAACAGCATTGTTATTTTCCATGTATCTGTTCATTTAATAAAAATATTTAAAGTTGTTGTTTTGTAAGTTAGTTTCTTTTTTATTCCCTGTTACCTTGACATTCAATAACCAAACCAAACTCATGATATATCAATCAAGGAACCTACACTCATCTCCGTTCATACTTGGCTTAAAATACCTACTTTGTATGGTCGCCATTTTAATGAAAAAGTATTGAATAGTGTAAAGGAATGGCTACAACTATATGCCTAACAGTTTAAAGTTGCACTATTGAGATGAAATCCATTTCTGCCAATTACCAATGGATTTTATCTATGTGATAATGCTGCAACCCTCTAGGACTAGTCTGAAGTAATGTGCAAAACAGTTCCAGGCTAGACTAGTGTCCTAGGATGTGATGGTGGGACATAAAAAAACTGTTTGGTTAACAAGTTTTAAAATAGAGCAACAATTACAATTGGTTGATTCACCTGGCTCTAGAAAGGTAAAAAGCGACAAAAATAAATTAAGGCTTTAACAAAATTTTGACGGTGATCTCAAATACACTGTATCAGTAATCTGACATACTTTCTCCCCTTATTATGGGCAAGCCGAGGAAATTATGGTTTTATTGGGTAAAATCACAAAATTTGGAGTAGCTCTTTATCCATAAGGGTTGTACCATTCTGAACCATAGGGGTTTGGAATTGTAAGAACCATAAAATAAAACACTAAACTTAAATCAAAATCGGTCAAGCTATTTTTTTATTTTCTTTTTTATGTGGAAATAACAAGTTACAATAAATGTTAAACCGTAATTTTTACAGAAATGAGGGTTGTACTGTTTTTTTTTTATTTTTATATAGAGTTAAAAAGACTATAACATATTACATTTTAATCAAAATTGTTCAGGCCATTTTTTGAAAAATTTCATTTTTCCATTATTTTATGGGGGTTTTAATGAGAAATTAACCAGAAGAAAAAAAAACACATGGAGATACCACAGATTAGTCCCGGGACTGTTGACTTCCAGCAACATTCCCGTTAGTACCTACAACCAAATTTCATAAAAATCAGAAAGCTTGTCTGGTCTCTGCTCCATACACAGACATCACTTCAAAACCCACTTTATTGGGTTCAGGAAGATCAAAAACGGATATTTTAACCGAAGACTAAAACTAGCACATCCTAGAAATAAATCAATGGCGGAGGGGGCGAAGCCCCAATGGATATAATCTTTAAACTAACAAGTCTTCCTGACCTAGATCTTAAGCTATAGAGTGACACTTTCATTATAAAACTCAGTTAAAGCCCGTAGCCCGGTTCACACGGCCCTAGATCGGTCTTCAAATCCAATGGTGTAAATCCATGCTCCTGGTCACATTTTGGCCCACGACCAGATAGGAAGGTCGGGAGAGATTTCCAGCCTATTTAGGGAGGAAAGGTGGGATAGACCAGTCCCTTACACTTCCTCTTGGAACGGCACTTGAAATCCGAATTTCTACACTTAGGCAAATCTCTCTGTCTTGGACAGAGTTACCGTGTGTCTGAGTTACCTTTAAGTATTTCAGGACGTGTTCACTCCCTTTTACTTCAAGTTTTTATTTTTTTGTTTTCGAAATGGAATCCATTCTACGGATGGAAAATACTTTTTGACTTGCCAATGTAGTTAATGCTACTCCAACAACTTGCCGCTTGAATAAACACGGAGCCATTTCGTTACACTTTGAAAACTTCTAAAAACATTTTTAGCTAATAAGGACGTTTATCAACGAAGGGAAGTGACACGCTAAGCCAAGCTCAGATGGAGTGCAGAGCACGGGTCGTGTAAATACAATGCTCTGTCAAGCTGGGGAGAGAATATTGACAGGGCGATCGGGAACGGGTCAAATAAACCCTGCTTCAGTAGGACAAGTAAAAAGGGATGTTGCAGAGAAAACCCGTATTGTATCAAGTATAATATAGATTGTAATAATACACATGCACAGAATAATACTTTGCTGTATTCAAGAGAAACTTTTCTGGTCTGCGGCTCTTGAACAGTATTTTCTCAAGCAGCGTAGATACTTGGTGCCAAAATACATAACAATTTTCTTAGAGATTCCATGAATCGTGAGTTGTTTTCTAGTAGGTTTTTTTACTTTATTTTAGCACCACTTGGGTGTAGGGTGTCCCATCAAGAGGTTGCTATTTTGACGCATCAGACATGCTACAAGCTTAAAACTCCACAGCAGCAACAGATGCTCAGTAGAGAAAACACCGAAAAGGTTTCAAATTCTGTCAATATGTTGTCTATGATTAAAAAAAGAAACATTTTTGGAGTGAATGCTGCAAAAGAAAAAAATTCCACAAAAGTCCTAGTATCCTAGACTAGAAGACTGTTTATTTTTGGTTCATATCTACACTCCCTCATTTATCAAATGTGAAACTTGAATTTTGTCTGCCAAAAACGACATCAAAGTTGCAGCCGCTTGATTAAGGAATCATTCGAAATTTTCAGTATTTCTGAGGAAAACAAACTCTTTTATAATTCCTAATTTTATAATTTTATCCTGATAACTTGCCAACTCTTGATAAGTAGTTCAAAACTCTTGACGAGACAAATTTATTTGCCTGGCCCACCAATTACAAATTATCAAGAGTCTACTGTATCAAACACCACCTCCCACCCACTTTATTCCGAGCAATCAGAACAAAATGGTGGATCATTAAAATAAAGGTGTGTGTTTGCGTTTTAATACTTTTATTTGCAAAACCATTTCAGATTTTTTTTTCACGGTGCTTTAGTTAACAAAATTAAAATAATGATTGGTATCGGATAGCTGTCATAGTAAATGGGATTAATTTAATTCATAAACCTTTATTCAAACTCATATCCTTAATCACAGTGCAATTTTTTTATTACGTGATCTTTTTTTTCTAATTTCATCCCTATTGTTGCTCTGGCACGTACTTATTCATCAGAATCAAAATAAGTGCGTTGGGTGTATTTTTTAATTTTACATATTTATTTATTATATCTTTAGAGTTTCAATTCTGTACCGTTTTCGTTATGTCTGGTGTAAGTGTAGACAAACCATTTGTGGGGTTTTCACTTTTACTTTCTCCCCCTATACCATAGTATATGGAAAAAGTATTGTTTTCGTCAAAATTTTCTAATTTGAGTTTTGAGTGGATATATTTGTTTTGGGTCCCCCTGGACCCAAAAAAAGTGGTTTTCGAAGTGATGTCTGTGTGTGTGTGTGTGTCTGGATGTGTACAGAGCTAGGGATTACACCTGTGGTCCGATTTCGATGAAATTTAGTATGTAGGTTCTAATCCATGGTATCTCCAGGAGTTTTTTCATTCTTTTGAAATTTAGATTTTTTATGGGGATTTTCTCATAAAACCCCATAAAAAACCGGAAAAATCGGATTTTCCCAAAAATGGCCCGAACGATTTTGATAAAAATTTAGTATGTTATAGTCCTTTAAATTCCGAACAAAATTGTACAAATCCCATTTCCGTATATTTACTCTCACCGCTTACACATGATAAAGGTTGTTGACAAACTTATGGGAGAAAGTATGTGTCAGAATGCTGATACCGTTTATTTTAACCTATGTGTATGTAATGTTTGAATGAATTTATTGATTAGGGAGGTAGGGTTTGTTTCAGGCATGATAGAAAAGCACTTATCATTGTCAATATTTTTAATCACCATTTTAGGATGTCTTACAAGATTTAAAGAGAATTTCACATAAATCAAGTCTATGGCAGCAATCTATGCTGAATGCATTGCAAAATTTGCCCTTAAAACTCAACATTTTTGGCAGCTCATCATAATATTTAATATTTATTTATGTTTGAAAAATATAAATACATGTAGGCCTAAGTTAAAAAATATTTAACTGTAAATTATAGCTTTAAAATAAAGAGACTTTATAGTCGCTAAAAATGTTGAATGGTGATTTCTTGAGTTATATTAACATAGGAACAGGTTCAAGATAACTGGTATAAAAAAGAGTGTTTATATCTGCATTTGAGATGAGCTAAAATAATCCTAAGAGTTATCCTGTATTTTCAGATTAGCTTGATCCGTGATTGTACGCCCAAAAGGGACTTTTGTACATCATCAGAATTTAGAACAAACAATACATGAAAAGGAAAATTAGTTTGAAACCATCTTGCTTGAAGGTTTGGTAACTCAAAGACTAAATAACTAAAAACTATGGTAAGTGAAATTATCAAAAGGGAACTAAATGTGTATTGTTTGAAATACTATTCAAATATTGTAGACATAAAATTTAAAAAAAAGTTTTTTTTATTTGATCATCATGGAAAATTTTTTAATAGTTTACTTTGTTGTGTCTAATTTCATTTTCATACCTAATACATGGAAATTCTAAACATGCCTAACCAAGTTCAAAACCGATTTTAATAGCAAAGTTCTTTAGTTAAACTTATGATTAAAATAAATTTGTGAATACCTACAACCAACAAACAAGATCGTTCTTTGAATCAAACTCTTTCGAGATCAAAATCTAATCTAGATAATATCAGTATAAAAATCATCGTAAACCTAAATCAATTTGAGGACTTAAGTAAACAAACACATAAACTTACTTTATATACAACCTATTAGTAACTTTATAAAAATATAAAGTATCCATGAGACACTTAAAAAGCAATATCAGGGAACCTCGATGCTTACAAACTAATGGAAGGATGGTGACGAGCCATGGAACCGCCGCTGTTGCAGTTGAGAGAAAAATATGTTTTACCACATGAAGTAAAGAAGAAGAATGTTTATAAAGCTTATGGCCAAGATTGTGCGACAAATTCTATAAATCGCAGGTGATACAACTGGTGGACTATTTTGAGTCGAACCATTTAAAAACTGTGTTTAACAGAGAGGTGGTTGCAGTCTGCTAAGCAAGAGTTTTGCATTTCATCCTAAATGTGCGATTGATTACTGTGTGTGTGAGTGTTAAAGCATTTTTCCTCCCCACAAATAGTAAAATAATAAATTACCATTTTGTAATATGGCAACAGTTCTAAGATTTTTAAATAAGGTGTTTTGCATAAATAAATATCTGTATGAAGTGAACAACAGTATTTCCTGGCTCTGGCAGTAACAATCAATATAGCTAGTTTTTTACTCAAATATGCGATAACTTTAGTTATTTCAATGTTCACATTTTGATTGCTACTGGAAGTTTGGTTTAAAAGTTAGTTTTGTGCAAAAGCGGGTTCCACGGCAATCAATCATATGGCAGGACCTTACCCAGAGTGAGGATTCATCACAATCTCAGTCTGACAGTTAACGAACATTAACATGGCACAAACCTAACCTAACCTACGAGATAACAACATATTGTGATGGAATATATGACAACTAATTTGATATCAAAATGATGTTTTAGTGGACTCCTTGTTTGCGATACCTCGAGAATAGATAGTTCAGAATTTTGGTAAAAAATGAATGAATACATTCAATACCACGCATTATGTGTAACAAATTTGTGAAACAGTAGGATACTGAACAATAATGGAACACCAAAAACAATAAATGCAACAGTGTTAGATTAACTGTATCTCATTTGATTATAGGCTACGAACAAACAAGGTAGGTGTGGTAGGAAAATCATACAAACGTGAACTTTCCAACCATCCGAGGCCACAAAGGATTCGAAACGGGAGGGAAACGTTGAGAATTGTTATCTAATGTGAGGTTCAAGAGAAATCAAAAGTGGATTCCGGTATATTTTACATGGTTTCAAATCAGAATCTTAGATAATCTTCAGCTTCCTTAGTTTAAAGGGTCAAAGCTACCCTTAAATTCAACATTTGTTTAGAACAAACCGATAAACTAACGGGTATTTAAAAGAGAGCACCATGGCTTGCATAAATTATCACAACTTACCAATCGCTCACTCTGGGAACGTAGAACTAACAACAACTAGCCGACTTACGTATGAACGAGAAACTTAAAACAACACAATAACAACTGAGTATTATACCGCCTCAATGTACATTAAAATTGCGAGACAAGAAAAATGGTAATAGGTGGAATTCCATATGTGAAAAATAGAATGAAAGAGGTTCCACAACAAATTTAGTTAAATTGCATATTTTAAAACTGAAACTGTTAATGACTTTTGTGTTTTGAAATTTTGTTTTAAGTAAAGGTTTTAAGAGATCCTGTTGTGGATTAAGAAACAATCAAGATTATATATTTTTACAGTCATGTGAATTTAAGCTAATGGTAACTTTACCCAAATTAAATAGTTTTCTATGTACCATAACAAACAATGGAAGAAGAAAAAAAACATTGGATCACCTACAAAAAGTTATTTTTCAAACATGGAATCCCAAATTTATAAACACGTAAACCTACATGCTCTTTCACTTACTAATCTTACAGTATCATTCTAAAGTAAAAATATTTCTTGAGCTTTGTACAATACTTAAGATTAAGATAAAACATTAACAGTCTAAAATTTTACAATAAAATACTGTGAATTATTTACAGGGATATAACGTCTTTTTATAAAATATATACACATTGTGTGGTGGCAGTTCATTGCACAAAGATTTCCTAGAATGGTAAGTACTAAGTGTAAATCTAACATCATGGCCTACAACTGAATAAAACTTTATTAAGGAGCGAGTTTAACAATGCTGTCACTTTCACTGCTAATTCATGTAACTTAGTTGTTATAATTCCCAATCACAAAAGAAAAATATTATTTTTTATAACCTTATTTAGATTAAATGGATAAAATCTGTAAAATACTGTACATACGATAAGTGGTAGTTTCCAAATGGTGTGTAATATTTTCTCTGTACTGTTTGATCAGTGGTCATCATCTGAATGTTTATACTTTGTACTGTGTTTAGGCCGTATATTAGCTTTATTTTAAACATATCCTCTGATTCTTTGTTTAGTTTACATTTACGTCAATATTTTGTAACCATCATGGCAACCCATAAGGCCAATGTTAAAATTTAAAAACTTTGAGCTACTTTTTGTTTTTTTAAATTATCATAGGCATTATCAAAAATTGAAATTGTTTCGTCTTAAACCTTCCAAACATTTGTTGAAACAACCTTAGTAAGTTTTCCTAAGACATGTTCAGCCTATATTCAGTGATTGTGTTAGAAAGTTTGCATTGAAGCCGATCCCAAAGAGCTTCGCTTTGCTCCGTTAAACAAAGCGATTAATTTTGTATCAATATGAATCCTTATATTAAGGATCTTCCTTATTTAACAAGTAAATAAAAAAATATATATACTGTATTCAATTTGAAATAACTTGATTGCACTATTAATACATTTTAACAAAAATAAATAGTAGTGGCACCAATAAAGATTTGTAAAAAAAAGGTATTTCCATTCAAATCAATGAAATAGCAGGTCAAGAAGCATAACTAATTTGTATCTTTTAAACTTAATAAAATTAGAGACGATACAATCACACTTTAACTCTATAACAACTTAATATTGCACGTTTTAAAACACTGTCACCACACTTTAAACAACATATAAACAATTTAAAATATTTTAAAACTGAAACAACTCTAAAATATTGGCAAGTATCTCAAACTTGGATAAAACTATTTTGATTCACTTAAAGTGAACTTATAAATCAAATAGTATACCGTATTTTAAAGCTATAAAAGTGTCTAGGTAAACCTAATTCGATATTACATAATAACCCTGTCTTTTAACGTCTTTATCTAATAATATAAGAGGACATTCTTCACAATATTTACGTTTGTGAAAATCTTGGATACCCCGACTTCCTTCTCACAGGCACTAACTTATCCTAGAACTACCAATAGAATATGGTTCTTCTGATATCACACGTTCACATATTGCTCATAGTGCTGTTAGCACCATATGTTAAACTATTTCAAATCAGTCTAGATTTTAAATATTTAATGCAGATGGTTAAAATATTATTTGAGTGTATGTAGTTGCAATATCACAATGAGATGGGATTAAGGAGAGTATTTCTAAGTGTCAGTCACCTTATTGGTAGTGAATTTCTCAACTCTTTTACTAATGTTATATGAAACGTGTTTAACTTAATATTAATCTTTTAGAACAGATCATTTTATTAAAAAATACTGAAACTAGTTAAAGTTTTACAGGTACTGTAATTTGATTACAGGTACTAAAGAATATCCCAAACTATTTAGATAAAAATCTTAAAGTTTTATTTAAAAATTAAACTATTAGTCTAAGATTGTTCAAGCAATAGCTGCAACTCACAAATTTTGTATCTCACTCATAGAATTCTGGTTACTTGTAAAACTGGGTATATTACTACACAAAATTTAGGCATAAATATTTTTGCATTTTAAGCGCCTTTTATGTGATGGTATAACAAATTATAGATCTAAATATTTGTGATTTCTAAGGGCCAGCAAGGAAGAGCATCGAAGGGTTTACTGTCAGTCTCGGCCACTAGTCATTGGACCACAGTGGGGGTGGGGGGCAAGGAGGGAGGAGGCTTAAAGTCCTGCATTTGGGGGGAGGGAGCGTACTGGTAGACTGGGGCGCTTGAGTAGCACTGCGGGAAGTAAAGTTCCGGTTTAACCACAGTGTTGACGGTAACGTTAGGGGACGCTCTTTGCTTCACATCCATTCTGCGTTTGCTGGCGTGGGGGTTCATATGGTTCTCGATGTGCCTCTTCACCTCCTGGTCAGTCGCGAAACGTCTTCGGCAGTTGGGCATTGGGCAACAAAACGGTCGGTCGCCCTGGTGCGTTCGCGTGTGTTGATCAAGAATGGCCTTCTGCCGGAAGTCTTTCCCACACTGGTTGCACTTGTAAGGCTTTTCGCCGGTGTGTATCCGGACGTGCTGGTTGAGGATGGTCCTCTGACGGAAGTTCCGGCCACAGTATATACAAGCGTAGGGCTTCTCGTTGGTGTGGATGCGCAGATGTTGCGTTAGATGCGATTGTTGTCGGAACCGTTTCCCGCACTCGCCGCAAGGGTAGGGTCTGGACTCTATGTGTATACAGCCGTGTTGCAGTAACGTTGACTTCTGTTTGAACTCCTTTTGGCAGATCGGACAACGCACGTAGAGTGGCATGCCGGCGCTGCGGCCGTGTTGTATCACATCAGGCAACATCTTGCCTTGACCAAACACGCCATGTGTCATCCCTGCAATCACATTATTAAGTGCTTTATTTCTCAGAATCGACATTGCTAATACAGTAATGATGAGCAAGCAAACTAACAGGTTATACAGTAGAACCTGGTTAAGAAGTGTCTCAGTAGGATTAGGAAAAGTCTTATTATCGAGGGGATCTTCTTGAGGGTTGTGTTATTAAGATCATTTCGGCCAGCAGCCGTGTCGTCAAGGCTGATAAAAGCACCGAGCATTTTTATAATGTGTATTGTGCATTTTAGGGTTTGGACAATTTCAACTGCCATAGACACAATAAATATATTTTAAAATAGCTTCCTATCATAAAAAGGTATAAAAAGCGCACCAACAAGTAATTTGACTAAAGTAATAGCTTCAAACATCGTTGTGGTAAGTAATGGCTTCTATTTCATCATTCTAGTGTGTACATTTAATCTGCTCAGATTTAAATAATTTTTGATGAACTTGTGGTATAGAAATTAGTTTTAAATAACCCTGATGAATTTATATTTAGCGTCATTTTATTTTCCTAATAAATTGCTCTAAGTTTTAATATCAATCAATCGTTTGAGTAGAACCAGGAAACTATTATATGACTACTAACATCTTAAATGTCTTTAGAACCTACAAACCCCAAAACTATGTGATTTTCATTATCTTTACTGTTATAACATTTATTTACTCCCAACACACAAATTACTTTTAAGGAAGATTGCAAATTTTTACTAGACTCAAACTTACCTTTGGCATCTTTGAAGTACGCAGGAAACTGGTTGTCAGGAGAAAATCCTTGAATGTCTCCGTTCTCGTAGCCTTGTTCCTTCTCCGAGGGGAACGGAACGTCCTGAGGCCACAACTGTCCGTTCTTGTAAACCAAGTGCGGACTGACGTCTGTAACATTACAACATTGTTAGTCTGTCAATCAGTGCAAACGCAGACTTACTTTATGCACTTTGTAATCTATAGAAATTCTTCAGTAAAAGTAATCAGTAAGTAATGTTACATAGTCAACTTTTTAAATTGTCAAGTGTAGGAGTTATAAGTATTATAACATTGTCTTATTATATTTAGTAAGAAAATATTAAACAAACCTAGATCTTTTAACATTTATAAAATTATGAATGTGACTGAGATGACTAAAAAACATCAACAGAGAAAGCCATCTTATTAAAATCTGAAAATTCATGTGTTATTTTACACTTTGGGCGGTAAAATATATGTCTTTAAAGTTTTAGCAGAAACATCATTGCATTTCTTCTAAAAGATTCTAGGAAAATACTATCTCAAAACAATTTGAGTAATTTTTATAGTCAAAATGATATTTTTGACTTCAAATCCCTCATTAAACTAGCCTATACAATTCAACAGAAAACACAACTTTTACCTAAGACGTTCATGCATCAACTAACAAAAAAACCATCTTTATTGTTAATTTGTTCATATAGACAGAAAAAAATGCTCATTCTTTATGTCGGGAGCAAACTGAAACTGGCCTTAATCAGGAATTAGTGATGAAAACTACATATTATGTGTTATGCTGGAAAGAAAATGGCAATAATTTCTTGTATTTGTACCCAACACTCCTTTTTGTTGTTCTATTAAATGGATTGTCATACCAATTGTATCAAACCAATACAATTTATAAAAGTCACTTACCTATTTTAGCTCATCAGGACGGTAAGCAATAAATGTATTTTTGAAAATGTTAATCACAAGCTTCAAAGTGTTGTTTCGACTAAATTTATATTTTCCATAAAATAAACGAGTAATGAATGTGAAAAGGGATTTAAATTGTATTTACTCAAATCCTTCTCATTTTGTGCACTCAAGAGAGATCAAAATACTATCAAGTTCCTAACACAATTTCAACAGTAGAAAATTGTAGTCTTAAAATTGCATTTTTATGTAAGGGGTTGTCACAAAACCAAACATGTTCACGATTGGACTTGAATTCCTAGTTTATCTCCTAAATTGTAGTTTTTACTGTGAAAGGTAAAAAGTACCTAGCAGAAACTGTTTCTATTATGTCTGTTTATAATCAATGGCTAATTTACTCATTCATTCACTCATTCACTGTCATACTGAACCTCAAAAAACGTCTTCCCATCCACACTACCCCTGAAATATGCCGAATTAGCCTATTATTATCATAGTAAAAAACCAACCGACTGTCCGTAGCACAAAATCTTGAATGTTTCAATTCTTTATTAGATTGAAAAGGAAATCTACAAAAATCATTTTATTTGAAAATCTCTTTATCAAAAAACTCTTTATCGTGGTAGGCCTACACAAATTTTTTCATTGAAAGAAAGTCACAAAGAGTCGCAAATCGATGACGATTAGTTTATTATGCTACTGAAACAAAATATCTTCAATTTGAAACCACGAATCAAGGAATAAGTCAAAAGCATTTGTGTGTCAGATTATTTAATGAAACAATAGCCTTTAAACGAAGGGTAACGACAACTGACTATATTACATTTCCTTCTGAGATTACGTAAAAATAGTCTAGCCTTAAAATTGGTAACTAATGTTATGCTTTTTAACTATAATCTCCAAAATATTTCCAACATTTAATTTTTGAAATCCACACGCTGTGTCACAGCTGGATTGATAGCTGAGGAAAAGCTGATGGAAGGATGGAGAAAATCAGGATGTAAAGAGAAAGGTAGACAGGACTACTGCTATGAGCCTGAACAGTAGGGAGGACCGGGGGTAGTATTGAAAGAGAGAGGATTGGAAGGAAAGGAATAGGGAGGAAATAGGAAGCTAATCAAGGGTTGGCTCGCCTTGGTGCGTTCGGACGTGCTGATTCAGAATGGCCTTTTGCCGGAACCGCTTCCCACACTCAGGGCAGCCGAAGGGCTTCTCACCCGAATGAATGCGCAGGTGTTGATTGAGGATCGCTCGCTGCCGGAAGGTCCTCTCACAGTACACGCAGGCGAAGGGCTTCTCGTTGGCATGTATCCTCAAGTGCTGCGTGAGGTGCGACTGCTGCCTGAATCGTTTCCCACACTCCGTGCATCCGTAGGGCCTCGAGTCCGTGTGTATACGCTCGTGCTGCAAAAGCGTTGATTTCTGCTTAAAGTCTTTCCCACAGGTGAGACACTTGAAGAGCCGAAGTTCGGATTTTCCCAGTTTCCCGTTGACAGTCTGCTGGTTGACGAGGTCTGGCATGTTGGAGAAGTCGTTGGTCGCGTCCACCGCATTGAGCGTTGTCAGCATGACTCCTGGCTGCTTGAGATACGACATGAAGCTGCCCGGACTGAGCATGTGTGGCCGGGTGTAGTACTGGGACATATCCGGCTGCATGGAGAAGCACTGTCTGTCCGGCTCCAGCAGTCCATTGGGTGAATGTTCTTGTTGCGTTTGCTGAGGTTGCACTACTAGTTGTTGAACTGCTAGTTGCTGATGCACTTGAACCGGGTCTTGTTGCACCTGAACTTGCTGACTTTGCAACGTCGTCTGTTGCTGAGGTAACATATCTTGTTGCATCTGTTGCATATCCTGAGTTTGTATCGACTGTGTTTGTTGTAATGATTGACTTTGCTGTATTGCTTGTGTTTGTTGTATACTTTGTGTCTGTTGTATACTTTGTGTCTGTTGCTGAATACTCTGTGTTTGCTGCTGCATAGTTTGCGTTTGTTGGATCGTTTGGGCCTGTTGTTGCTGACTCTGCACCATTTGTTGTTGGACGACCGACTGATTGACTAAGTCGTCTTCTTGTTGTGATGTTCCATTCACTGAAACAAAATATTTAATTAAAATAAATAATTAGTAACTTAGTTCTAAAATATTTGCAGATGTTTTTTATACTAACTAATTAATTGTTGAGATGAAAGACAAGTAAAATTGGATTGTCGGTTATGAGCTGCAATTAATTGGACATTCTGGCTGCTGCCCGATTAATTTCCTCCCTTAATTTGTCTTAGGCGTAAATTAATGAGATTAATGATGGCACAAAAGACGCTATAGTTGACAATAGGTTGTACTTTCAACTGGCTGGTTTAATAAGTTGGTATAGGCTATTCTGTAAAAATTAGTAATTTACTTCAACGGTCTATAGGTGCCTCAATTCAACCACATCCATTTTTGTTCTAACTTTACAATTTCATAGGTGTAGTTACAACTTTAAATAAGGATGGAATTTCAACTTCTAAAGACACCAGAGCAGCAAACAGAAAAAGCAAAGAGGGTCACATTTTGGTAATATCATCCTCTGGATTGCACATTGACATCAAACACAAAATATGTTTTGAGAAGCATAATTTTGCCCCAAATATGATAATTTTGGACTCCTTCTGCATTTATTTACATTGCTCAATCTGGCAACACTGACTTCTATCCTTAGTCAAAGCGAATACAAACCTTATAAGAAGCGAAATGCTCATGTTGAAAATTCAGCCTAGGATTTTTGAATTTTGGCAAGTTTTTGGGTGGCCACTTTGTAGGAAAGGCACGACTATTGCTGGCGCGCAGTGGCGTCGATGGGACCCCACAGCAGTGTGAGTGAGAAAAGAATCGGCGTAGAGAGGGAGGCGAGAGAGAAAGAGGATTGCGCTTACCTAGTGACGGCCGCACAAAGTTCATTTAGCCGGCGAAATCCAGTCTGACTTTTCCCCATACAGCATTTTGCTTCTTACAAGGTTTGTATTCATTGGTCAAAGATTATATTCAGTTCTGATGGTACTCACCCTGCAGTGTATGGTTGACAGGCTCGGTGTATGGGGAGGGCGTAGGAGCCTCGTGAGGATGAGGAGTGACAGGAGGACTGCCAGAGCTAGATGAGCCCTGCGGGGGTATGTATGTGTCCCCCACCCCCACTGTGGGGGTCCCCCACTGCATCCCTGGCAACTGCATGCCGCCCCGCTCCATCCCATCCTTGTACAGCACATAGGGAGCTCCTGTGTCTGGAAATATAACAATCGGTTAGACTCTTCCTTAAAACACAAGTTAACTTTACAGTAGCCTAAAACCTTCTTCACCACGCCCAATCAGATAGAAACTTTTAGTAAAAAGTTAGAACAGTTGAAAAAAGCTATGCACCAAGGAACTGTCTGCCGTGGCGTGGGTAAAGATAAAGTTGAAATCTTGTAGGTTAGGCCTATAACTTAATAATCATAATTTCATAAGTATTGTTGTCGATTGGTTTTTATTGAATTATCTACTGAATTATTTGCCAAATGCTTTGAGCCATCACTTAGGGTGTGTTGATAACCTAGTGGTTAGCGTCTTGGAATTTGGTACGAGAGGAATAGGTTCAATCTTCAACACATTCACAATTTAACTTTTACGCGTTCGGACTGACTTCCCTTTTAAAAACCTTAGTAATAACATTTTTACAAAACACCGTAGGCAAAGATTATAAAATTGAAGTTTAATTTTAAAATTTTGAATTTTTTGTAGGGCCTAGAGGGGAGTACTGTTTTTTCTTTAAAAAAGTAGGAGAAAGCATAGGCCTGCATTTGCATGTGACGTGCTATGAGCCCAAGAGATTATTGCGCCCCCAACAAACCTAAAACCTCTTGTGTTCCAGGGCCCTGGTCCACCGAGTGGCATAAGTTAAGTTACACTTTAAATCTGGTCTCTAATTATAATTTGATTGAATTTAATTTTCGTAGAATTTTTAATTCATCTTTGCTTTTAGTCATGGGACATCGGTTTTCTAGGGTAGTGGGATTTTTGGGGGTCATGATATTAATTAAAGAGTCCCTGCCAACAGCCAAAATTAGTGGTTGGTAGAGGGTCAACTCAGAATTTAGTTTTTATCGAACTGAATACTTATCAGACGTAAGTTACCCTAAGATTAGCCTACTGTACAGTTTATGTCAAGATGATAAGGTCATTAGTGTAACTTATCTTTATGTTTTCCAACTTATTAAAATACCGGGTACAGTTTCTTAACTGGGCTTTGCTAATATTGATTGAAACTATCAAATTGAAAATATTGATTAATAATCGATAGGCTACCTTTGAATTTTTGATGCTGACCCTGGTATGGCCTAGGTCTTCGTAATGTTATAGATACAGCACACCTCCAGTTTGAGCTTAATACTTTGTGCTGGCTAGGGGTTAGTCATTAGATTTGACTAAAGTTTAAGAATAACCATCTAGGCTAGCTAACTTAGGAATGTTTCATTTTTAAATCTGGCTAGGAGTAAATCAGTTTATACTTAGGCTATTAATAAGTCTGACTCGAGAATACATTTCAATACCTATGTTGAGCTCTTGACTATATTAAATAAATATTAGATAGAATGAATCAACTAAATACAACATTTAAGGGAGAGGAATGTATTTAAAACTTGTTTAAGTTAAACACTAACCCAGCTGCATTCCTGTGTAAGGGGAGGGATGAATTATGATATAGGTGACAGCCATTACAAAAGGCAAAATCACATTTTACCGCCCAATATTTTGCAATAACTCACGGAATTCATGACAAATTTGTAGTGGCACATTTTAAAACCAATTTTAATTCACAGCTTACTTTACACAGAGGTTATTACACATTATCGATTTGTTTACCTAGTTCATTTCAGCTAATACAGTACCGGGACACGGGAAACGTCTTGCGCGTAAGTCGTCTGCTACACAGCTGGCTTGTGGCTAGTGCCATGTATATCAACAAGACAGTAGACGTACGTTTTCCATACTATAAAAAACTAAAACCACTAACTGTCAACATAAACTGTAAAATATATAATTAATTTAATATATACTGACTACATTACATTTATCCTGTTAATTACACCCCAAGTTAAACACAAAAAAAATCTAACTCAAATTTGTTTTGTTATTGTTTTATTGAATTATCTATGTTATAGCATAGATAAAACATACTCCCTTGTGTTGGTTAGTCTATGGTTATAGTCTCATGTAGTGAGCTTATTAGTAAATTATTGCTACATTTTACTAAAATAGTTTATTTTATGTTACTTTCCAAAAATAAAATTTTCTCACTTCTTCTTTATACATAAAATATTTGTAAAACGTTGTATCCGTTTTATAAGAGTAAATAAATAGCTCAACTCACATTGACTTTGCTCTAAATACCAAACCTATTTTATTGCTCAAAATCATCAACTTTATGCCTAAGATATTGATATTAGCGTATATACCGTACAAAAAATATTAACAATACACCAACAGTTCCTAGTTTTTTGTGTTTTGTCTCAGTAGTCAGGGGCTTGGTTTTGGTTGGAAAAGAATCACACAAATAGCACTGACAGTCCAACAACTTTGTTTCGGTCAACCATAAGGACTAATTAACATCTATGGCTATTATTTCAATACCTTGGGCGATGCAGTACATGAACTGGCGAGGCACCTTGAGGCCCGCGGCCAGGCAGGCGGCGAAGGAAGCCGAGAAGTTGATGGCCATGTCATCACCGCCTTCTCCTACAACAAAACATACCCTCAGATGAAATAGAATAAATAAGATATCCTGAAGGCGAGGAATTAGTTCCGGTACAGGTTCATGTCAATTATGTGGATAAACATAGTAGTTACGATTTTTTTAAGATAATATATTTCAATATATATAAAAAGCAAAGCCCTCACTGACTGACTCACTCACTCACTCACTCACTCATCACTAATTCTCCCACTTCCTATTTACCTAGGAGGCTGAAATTCGGTACATCGATTCTTTGGGCATTAAATAGGAAAACTAAGTAGTTTTTATTCTGATCGGGCTTTCGGGCTCCGCCCCAGTGGCTCTGGAATTTCCCATGTTAACCTTATGATTTTTCATATTTAAAAGGAATTTCTTAACAGCTGTTTCAATTAAACAAGTTGGTTCTGTTCTATGATGTTCAATAGCATTAAAGTTACAAGGACTACCAACAGGGTGCAGCACTATTATTTTTTTAAATTTATGACTACAGCCAATTTGCAACCAAAAGGTGAGTGAGCGTAGCGAACGAACTTCAACCTGGAAGCGAGATAGCGTAGCGAACGAGCTAACCTGAAGGCAAGTGAGCGGAGCGAACGAGTTCCAACCTAAAGGTGAGTGAGCGTAGCGAACTAACTTCAACCAGGATGTGATTGAGCCATGCGAACGAGCTCACTTGTGAAGTTAAACGGGGCAAAGCCCGCGGGTACAGCTAGTTTCAATATAAAGTATTGTGGTACTTAAAAAATAATCATTGTGATATCACCACAGTTAAAAATATGCCATAAGTACACACCAATAATTATCTTCAATAATGAGTGATTATTTAAACAGTTTCACGGACAAGTAAAATCAATCATTATCTTTTCAACTGTCATTGACAACACTATAAGAACCAGACCTCCTCCTCCAATATATACATATTTTCTAAAACTTCTTTGGCACGGTTATATCCTAATACTATTTTAATTGTTGTTTGTCTATTGTAAGGGAGTATTTCATTTGGTCCAAAATCGTTTGGTCCACAAGTTGTAAAACAGTTCGTTTGGTCCAAAATCGTTTGGTCCAACACTTGTAAAACAGTTCGTTTGGTCCAAAATCGTTTGGTCCAACACTTGTAAAACAGTTCGTTTGGTCCAAAATCGTTTTATCATCCAGTTAGGGAGTATTTCATTTGGTCCAAAATCGTTTGGTCCACAAGTTGTAAAACAGTTCGTTTGGTCCAAAATCGTTTGGTCCACAAGTTGTTAAACAGTTCGTTTGGTCCAAAATCGTTTGGTCCACAAGTTGTAAAACAGTTCGTTTGGTCCAAAATCGTTTGGTCCAAAAGTACAGGCAAAACCAGAATTACAATTGTGTATTGTGGAGTAAACTTATGAAATAGACTGTACGTTTCACTGTGGACCATTCGATCGGGTCGTTTTATCCAAAACTCTAATACGAGTTCGTTTGGTCCAAAAGTATGAACTATTGCGTCCCTCACATAGAAGGCGTTCAAATAATCGCCGTCACGTCGTCAACCCAACCGCCTGCCTTCCGAGGCCTATTTGTTGTTTTGTGTTACGTTTCTAAATAATTGATATGTTTGCATTTATATACACGTACATATACATATATTTATTTATATATAATGTGTTTGTGTAATGTTTACTTTTTATCCCCAGTCAATCTTAAAACAACGCGTTTTAATTCCCTAGATTTGTGGATAAACATTGACTTTGCTTTGAGTTTGCATTTAATGTTAAACAGATGGTTTATTTAATCTATAATATTAAAACGAAACAGTGTTTTTTTATTTCACGATTCTGAATCAACCACTCGACGGATTTTCATGATTTTTGTGTTGCAAGAAAGATAATTTTGAGAACTAGGGAATGTCGAAGCCATAATTTTAGTTTAGGGTCCCAGTTTTTTAGAAATTAAGTTTTAATTTTTAAAAAGTCTAGCAGCCGACGCTAAGATTCTAAACTAGATTTGGCATAAAATAATTTGCTTAACATAACAGCTGTAAACATTCAGCTTTTGTGTCACAAATTCAGCATTTGAAAAAAATGTAAAGACATATTCAGGGTTGACTTATTTATACTATGTGTAATGCTAATCATTGATACGCTCAATTCTTCTTTAAGAGGATGACCTTTCTGTCATGACAGTAAATGGTAAAAAAATGGTGATCACTCTTTGTGAAATTTGTTTTACAGTTAAGGTGTAGTGTTATTAAAAAAATTCCCACTTAAGGCCAATCAAGTGGGCCACGGTCCGTAATATCGTACAAAAGGTAACATGCTACTGCAAAACATCTGTCAAGATATAGGTACTACTGTAATTTAAGGTTTCTGTGTTTGGATGTCATTAGACACGATAAGAGCACACTGAACTTCTTCTGCAGATGAACAATCTGTTGGTTACGAGAAATATAAGCCGAATTAATAAATGCCACAATTCAAGCGCTTTAAATTGACTCTGGCCTGAGAAACTGTTTATAGTATGGAGTTTGGGCCTGTTTTATGTCACCATCTGGGTAAGTAACTTAGAGAGATCAATGATTTTTGTTGCTGAGTAGCGCCAGTAAACATGTACAACACTTCTTTAGTTGAATAACATTCATTGGCTCTATTGTGTATTCTTTCACTAAGCTGAATTAATACATCAAAGTAAACTCTTTAAAAGTCTGTAATAAACTGTAATTTAGGATTAATAACTTTCTATAACTTATTATGCATTTATTCATAAAATTATTAAAAATTTAATCCAGTAACTGAAAACCACTATGATTTAAAAAAAATATATGGGCAACGTGCCTGAATGTTTGTCTCAGACAATTATGCATATCACAAAGAGTAGACCTATAATTGATGTACCTTAATGATATGTCTATGATAAATAAAAGTAGCCTATTTAACATTCATTTTCATAGACTGTAAAAGCCTTCTGCACTTTTATTATTCTGTATCGTATTACATAATGGGAAATTGTCCAATGATTAAATACACATGTATAACAATAATCTCGTGATGATCTGTCAGTCTAGAATAATAAGACAAAATATCGGCAAAAGTAGTCAAAAAGGCAGACACCAACCAGTACAATAGATATAACATAATGCAATAAGAAATGATTGAAAGAGTTACTGTAATATTAAGATTATATAACTGTTCGTAATGGAACGTTATATTGCTAAACATGACATTATACAGAAGAACATCAATTTTAAAATAAGAAAATAAGATCCTTATATATAATTCTGTAAGACAAAATTTTTACCAGGAAATTGTGGACGTCCAGAAAATATGAGTAGGCTAATTAATGTAATTTTCATGTTTTATTTTAACCTTTTGATTATGAAATTATAGACAACCATGATCAATAGTAAACACTCCATTGTAAATAGGTACCGGTACAACAATACAAATTAAGGTGTATGATAAACATTTAAAACACGTTGGTCCACTGAACACTCTGTATATTAGAAGGTCGCCAAATGTGATAAAAACTGTTAATTTATAAGATTTCCAACCGTATGATACACTATTGAGCTTTAAGTTTGTTTATGTACGCTTTAGTGGTTTGAATACAACAAAACATGGCGTCTTTAACGTTAAAAACATAGAAAGTCAACATGTTTAAAGCAAAAATTGTATTAATATTATTATTGTATACGACGGCGGATATTTGAACGCCTTCAATGTGAGGGACGCAATAGTTTATACTTTGGACCAAACGAACTCGTATTAATGTGTTGGACCAAACGATTTTGGACCAAACGAACTGTTTTACAACTGTTGGACCAAACGATTTTGGACCAAATGAACGGCAATATAAACGTACAGTATATTTCATAAGTTTACTCTACAATGCAACATTTTACTTCTAGTTTGGCCTGTACTTTTGGACCAAACGATTTTGGACCAAACGAACGTGTTTTTAACTGTTGGACCAAACGATTTTGGACCAAACGAACGAGTTTTTAACTGTTGGACCAAACGATTTTGGACCAAACGAACGGCAATATAAACTGTGGACCAAACGACTTTGGACCAAATGAAATTGGATAAAACGATTTTGGACCAAACGAACGAGTTTTTAACTGTTGGACCAAACGATTTTGGACCAAACGAACGGCAATATAAACTGTGGACCAAACGAC